AAACTAACACACCATTGTAAAGCAATTATACTCCAGTAAAGATGTTAAAAAAATTTTTTAATTTAAAAAATAAAACAAATGGATTTCTCTAAAGGAGAAATTGTAGATGTATGTAAATTAAATAGTGCCCTGAGCTAGAGCTACTATTCAAAATCATTTTGTAAGAGGGGATAATCAAGGGTAAGTGTCCTTTGGCGTGTTATTGTGGCACCATTAAATCAAGATAATCTCATTTACTTTGTTTTTTAAAAAATGCTTTTCCATTGTACTTTTTTTTACTGGGAAATTTTACTATAGTTAAGAAACAGTAAGACTGCGTTTATTTGTAATCCACTCATTAGTAAATTACAATCATTGCCTTTTAAAGTATTGATATTTACCTAGTAATATAAATGAGATTTCAGGTACAGTGTATACTTGCTCTAGTAAGCAGTACTTTCAAACTCTTTATTTAAATAAACAAAACAAAACTTTAGCATCATTTATTTATTCATAAACCCTGAATCAAGTACATTTTTATTCTTAATCATTTAGTTAAAGCAAATCTAAATCCTTTTACTTTTGAGCACTTTGGTATTTGAAAGTTAAATGCTTCTTCTAAAATATTCTAAAATTCACACTTTTAAAATTTTCTTATTGAATTTAATGAGGTTTTACTATATTTTCAAAACCATAAACCAAAAAACATATATAGCAACATAATAACTTTTAAATAACAAGTTTATTTTTTCAATTACAAATTTAAAGGTTTTCTTTTTTCTTTTTTGCTAGCCAGTCTCAGTTGGAGGGCTGATAGTAAACCTTATTGGTATCTGTGCCTTTAGCCATGCCCATAACCATACCCATGGAGCTTCTCAAGGAAGCTGTCACTCATCTGATCACAGCCATTCACACCATGTGCATGGACACAGTGACCATGGGCACGGTCACAGCCACGGATCTGCAGGCAGAGGCATGAATGCTAACATGAGGGGTGAGTCCTTGCCAGATACTGTCCTACCTTTCAACTGTGTTCTGAATTGACATTGTTTATTTGTATCAAGTATTGGGCTCTTGTTACAATTTTATTTTAAAAAACCAACCTGTAACTAAAAAGAGATCTAAAGTCATCTGTCACAGAAAATGCTCACAACTGTTCATAAATGTCAATTTTTAAAAATAAATTATTGTAATTATAGAGTCCTTTTCATAGTGACATTTGAGTAAATATTAGTTGCAAGGGAAACTGTGCATTACACACTTTCACTATAAAAGAACTAAGAAATTTTTATTGTACTGAAAACAAGTATGGGGGAAGTATCATTTATGTTGAGATATTTATTCTGATGTTTTATTTTTTTATTTATTTTTTTGGCCACACCGCATGGCTTGTGGGATCTTAGTTCCCCAACAAGGGATTGAACCCTCACCCTCAGCAGTGAAAGTGCGGAGTCCTAACCTCTGGTCCGCCAGAGAATTCCCTATTCTGATATTTTAGTAGAAATAATTTAGGTAATGTCAAAACTTGGCTCATGTATGATTTCTAGGAAGCTTTCCCAGACACCTTCATAAAACTCACCACACTGATAATAGTTGCCCACATCCTTACTTTCATCACTATGCCATGAATTCCTTGATGGAAGTGACCATGTTTAGTCATTTTGAAGTACCAGCCCCTAGCAGAGTGCCTGGTGAATAATAGGTACCTCGTAATATTTGTAGAATGAATAAAAGAACTAAATTAAATGTGCTTTAATTTTTAATATTTTATGTATCTTACTTGTAGGTGTATTTCTACATGTTTTGGCAGACACACTTGGCAGTATTGGTGTGATCGTATCCACCATTCTTATAGAGCAGTTTGGATGGTTCATTGCTGATCCCCTCTGTTCTCTTTTTATCGCTATATTAATATTTCTCAGTGTTGTCCCACTGATTAAAGATGCCTGTCAGGTTCTCCTTCTGAGACTGCCACCAGAATATGAAAAAGAACTACATATTGCCTTAGAAAAGGTACTGTGTATAATTTCTTTACTAGTCTTCTTCCTTTTAAAATAGTATTTGAAGTTAAATAAGTTGACCTAATAAGAAATGAAAATGACAGTCTTGTAG